TATCTGGATCACGAATGTCGTGAAAAAAAAAATCAAACGTAACAATATTGACCCCAGGTTGGACAGAAGTATCCAACAGCTCAAGTCTCTGCTCCCTTGAGCGCTGCTTTTCAGCCCCTTCGGAGCTTCAGCTGACCAGCAGCACTGGCCCGGCCAGGGGCGAGGGTCCCTCACCTTGCGCGGCTCGACGGTGGTGATGACCGAGGCATCGATGAAGGGCTTGGGCCTGCGGGCAGACTCCTCGATCAGGCTCTGCCATTGCCGCGGCAGGCCCACAAACCTCTGCTCCTGCTCGTCGAAGTCCGTGTGCACGCGGTGCTCGAAGTTGGAGGGCGCCGAGATCTGGATGCGCTGCTTCTTCTTCTTACTGAACATGGCTGCGGGCGGGCATGAGACCTGCAAGCACACAAGCAGACGCACTGAGGCACCGCTCCTCCAGCTCTCACGGCCCAGGGCCATGGATGCAACGGGCCACATGCAGCACAGCAGGGCACCATTTCAGCGTCACTGCTGCACTGGAAAACCTGCACCCTCCTGCCTAAAAGTGAATGGCCTAAGTCATTTCGTGCCAGTAAAGCACACACCCAAGGATGTAACTGCAAAGCAAAGGGAAGAACAGAAGGCACGTCTTTACACGTCTTACAAAGGTCTGTGGGGGTCGGAAACAATCAGTTGGCTTTCTTGAAGAAACCAGACAGAAGCTAACTGGAAACCAAACAAGCTTGATGGGGCAAATACCCCCCTCCTATTTGGAAACCTTGTTGCCTTCTTAAGAATGAGACGGCGAAGAGCCCAGCCGAAGTCAAACAATGTTTTGGGATTTTAGCCGGGTTTTATGTGGAAAGAGGAAATAAAAGATACAATTTTGCGCACCACTGATCATTTGAAATACTGCAGCTTTACGTGTACTCATGGTATAGCTGTCTAGGCTGAGGACTCCAAACCAGAGGATTTTGAGCCCATTTCCAATATCAGCATACTGCTTGCTGCACTCTTGACCAAGGTTCTTTACCCAGAATTCCTCCAGTGTCCCAAACGATATCATACGCTCAGATTTGGAAACGACCACTGACACCGGCTCCGAAGAGTCACAGATGGCACTCTGAGAAATGCCAAGCAAATTGAAAGGTCTTTGTCAGAGAACAGGTAGGCCCAGAACCTTAAGGCAGCAAGAAAAAGGTTAATTCTAATGTACAGCTGCTTCTAGTGTACATTAGTAGCTGATGTTTCTGGGTGCCGGAAATGGTGGTCGTGACAAAACGAAAGGTTGGTTCAAAAGACCTTGACCGCAATAGTCATAGGACTGCACTTTTACTTTGTTGAATTCATATTTAAGAATATCAATCCCCCTGCCCCCAACTTCCTCAGAGAAAAAAATTGATCGATCACACCAGTCGCCCTCCCTGCATCAGAAGAGCTTGGATTGTTCAGTCAATGTACTGGAAAATTACAATCATTGATTTAGATCTGAGTTACTGCGGCACCTGAAGAAAAACAAATAAAAAAAAACATTTAGAAAAGTTTTTTTGAATATATGTGGGGGTTTTGTCTCATATAGGGGCTTTTATATATATGCTTGATTAGTTTGATTTGACTGTCACAATATGTACACGTGGAATCATGTACTTTTCTCCTGTTTCTCCACTTCTATCCACGAACACTGTGTTGTTACATAACAGACTTTAGTGCAAATGCAGCAGAAGGCAAAACTGGAAAAAGCAAGTGGAGCCGAACAGTAGTCATTTAGGCGTTTTAATTTTCTCTTCATAGCTCGATTACTCCAAACCACATCCACGTCATGACATATCTTTTTTAGGAAGCAAAGGCACACCAGAAGACTATAGCCCAAACATAGGAGACTAAATAAAAACAGATTCAAACAAACAAAAAAAAGCTTCCAGTGATGGTCTTGAATTTGCAAAGCTTTTTTTTTTGCAATACTTTCTGCAGACATGCAAATCGGATTATTGTGGCTGAGAAATCAGTATTACGGTGAGAAAAAAAATCTACAAAAGGACCTAATCTATGTTTGCGCTGAAATCTGTTCCCTAAGGCCAGCTCAAGGAGGAGGGGGAGGGAATAATTATTTGATAAATGACTCATTAACCCTGTTTGTTGGGATAGCCTGACAAATCCCTTCCTCTTGTGTAACAGTTTGGTCCATTTCAGCATTTATCACCTGTGAGCTTTCAGCACCACGCATAGAGACTGCACCACTCAAGCAGAAAAGGACAGAGAAGAGGAGGCCGCTTGGCTGGGCTTGCTTGTTTCACTGCTAGCAGCTAAATGGTGCAGAAAATCCCATCTGTCGGTTTCACGGAGGATCCCACGAGAAGGGAGTCAGTTCTGGAATTTCACAACCCCGACGTAAAGAAGAGTCTCCTGCTTTCTGCTTTCTGTTCAGCACAAAGTTGGTCGCCCTATCAGAATTCAATTTCAACTCCCAGCTGGAGGGTTGCAGGTTCATATCCTAGATGGGACACAGCAGGTTTATCCTTGAGCAAGGTACTTGTTTCTTAACTGTTCCAGTAGACGGCCTGCTGTATAAGTGAGCCTGCAGGTCGTCACAGTAAATAAATAAGAGTTGGTTCTAAGATGACATTTCTGAGTTAAAAAGTTTGCACCTAGTGTCAAAATGGATCTGTGTATTAATACACAGTGTAACAGAGCAGCCCTTTTGAATCATTAAGAAAAAGCTGTTTTTGAAATAATCTTTTTGCCAGTAAGTCTGTCCAATTGGCTGGCAAGAGGCAATAAGCAGCAATTTCCAGCCCTAATGACTTCCTGTTTCTCAACCGGGCCTGAAGCGCTCTCAGAAGTGCCTGACACTGACAGCTCAACAGCTTCCGCCCGTCAGTCACTGACATCCTGGTGTGGGGAGGGCATGGGCACGGTGCAGACAGCTCCCTGTGTGCCGAGTACACCAGTGAAAACTGCCCCGGATAAACCCCCCCAAAAAAGACAGGTTCATCAAACGATTTTGCTCCATGTCTGTGCAGGCTGACATACATTAATAGAAGACAGTAAGTACAAGCCCGACAAAGCCTGCTCCAGGTGCCAGCTTGTATACGTTCCAGGAGCCCGGAATGACACTGTGAACCTGTGGGAAGGACTGCATAATGGAGCCCCTTTTTCTTTCTTCGGAGAACTCGGTCTTCTCAAGAGAAAGAGCACTCTGGATCTCGGGCTGCTGGAGGGACAAGAACTATTTGTATTCAGCAAATCCACGATAATCCGAAAGATGGAGGGAAAAA